AGGTTTGCGCTTCAGCCGAGCAGTATGTTGATGCGTTTGTCCGAGTAGACAATTTGATGCTTGTTGATTTAGCTTTTAGAGTTCCACAAGACTTACTTTTATCTGATATCTCTGTGTCTGAGACTCAGGTTCTCCTTCTTTTAAGGAAGATAAATCCGACTGAAGATGCTGATTGGAATGCGATTCACTCCAAACTTTTGTTCGCACTGGACCCATTATTTGTATGCTTGAGTTGGCGCTTTGAAATTGTACTCTGCCTAAGACCTGGAAGTAGGCTGTTGTCTGCCCTGTCTTTAAAAAGGGCGACAAGAATTTACCCATGAATTGCTGACCTATGAGTTTGATGAGCGTTCTGATCCAACTGTTGGAGAAGCTGGTAAACGATGGACTTGAGAACCACTTGGACGCTCCGCACATCGTTCAGAATCATTACATCGGAAATGTTCACCAAACTATTTCCGGTCTTCGTTAGACCGCACCTAGAATATTGCATCCAACCTTGTCCATCTTGCTTGCTTGGTGATGGGATGTCAGTGGAGCGGATCCTTAGGATTGGCACAAAATTAATTCAAGGACTACGGCACCTGTCATATTCCGAGAGACACTTTAAGCTCAGAATGTTTTCTCTGCACTATCGCCTGCATCGTGACGACTTGAGTCTAACTTATCGTATTCTGACAGGAAAGCTTGGCCCTGATTTATCTCGGCTTTTTAAGCCAACGCTACTCCCTTCTCCCCGTGGTTATTCGATGAAGTCGCACAAACCACGATCCGATGGGGTTTGGACCTCTGTTCGACTTTCACCTAGAGTAGTTGCTTCCTGGAATGCGTTACCGGAGAAGGTGATGTCATCGCAAACAGTGAAGGATCCTGAGCATAAACTTGACGCCATTGGGCTGTTGTTCTAGTTTTTCCATTTAACATCATAAATTTTACTCTGTTATCATCACTGTTCTACTTCCGATTATTACCACATTTTTGTTCATTCGTATTGTTACTCATAGTTCACGTGGCCGGTGCAGTGGCGAATGCTAATGCAGCACATGTGGGCATTAATTGGTATGATTCATGCATGTTGCTTTGACTCTCCAAGATTGCCGATATTGCCGTCGATAAATACCCTGGATGAACTAGACGTTCACAAAGGAACATACACGGGAATTTCCTGCTGTTGCCGTCCCACTTGAAGTTGAATCATAAGTTTTCGCTTTCTACCTCTAATGGTAAAATTAGTAGTGCCGTGAGATTGCTCACCTCGGCCGCATACCATTTCATGTCGATTCTCCACTGGAGCTTCGAGAACATTTCTAACGAAACTAAGATGGGCGTATGCAATCAGACGGATTTACGTGACGCGGCCAGCGGCTCGTTCGCCGCAAGCGAACGGAACAGATGAGTGGACGTTTACGCGCCTTTTGTCTATGTTATTGGGTTAATATTTGACTGCGCTGGAGTGACTTTTTTCCGAAGCCAAGGAAGAATCTCATGAATGCCGAAACGTCGTTAGTTGTGAAAGCGACTTACTTATATATATTGAGGCTTCTACAGACCATTTGTGCTATTTTTGCTTAGCTTGCTCTGTTGTGTAAACCGTTTGCCTTTGAATGACCTAGTTTTGCGTGAGAACCGATCACGAATAAGTCAATTATGCACCTTGCGGAATGGCAAATCACTGTCACTTCTAAGGATCCATTGTACTCCTGGCTTCTAGAGAAAATTCGGCCTAGCAGCTGCACTTAAATGCGAACAGGGTAGTTAGCTGTCTGTGACTGCGGGTTACTGACAAAGTGTAGACACATTAACCTTGCCTGTTCGCTTAGAACCTTTAGGTTCCACTCTGGGTCCCCTACTTTTCTTCTGATTCTTCTGCTTCATCCTCTAGGCCAAGGGTCACCAAACTTTTTACACAGCGGGCCAGATGACCAGAAAAATGTCTGGCGCCGGCCGGATAACCGACAGCAAAACAATTTACGCCGGCCGGATAACTGGCAAAATGGTTAGCACGTGCCGTATAATCATAATGCACATTAGTTCCAAACCAAAACGTAAACTCTGAGAAAATCGGCAATTGAAACGTGACACTCGGTGTCCGCTTTTCTTAGTGGTCCTAGTGAAGGGTGAAATACAGTGCATCTGAAGAAAGATAATAAACTTCATATTGAAACACCGGAAAAGCAGAGGACTAGTGGTCATTGGTGGAACTACAGCTCATCAGGGGTGCACATAAAGTTCATTGGTATCTTCGATTATATCATATATATATATATATATAGGCGGAGACGCACTTTTAAATCATGAGCAAAACGGTTCTGTCAGACCCAAATCAACAAACAGTTCTCAGACTGGATACTCGTGTAAATGGCGGGCATTTGGGATCCCAATAACGTTCTAGAGCAATTCTCTATTAACAACCTCCAAATTGACGCATATATACTCTAGTGGTGTCCTACTAAGTGTTGTTTCATATGACAAGCTTCAGTGGAGCGGACAAACGGATAGTTGCGTCACAAAGTTGTGTGATACGGATAAACACGAGCGGATGCACGGATGAGAATCCACCCATCGATGTTCCAACAATGTGGGGTCACAAATTGTACGGTAGTGCGGTGTCACAAGTAACAACCATGAGATGGCTCACGCTAGTGTTCGGAAAGTATACAGTCACAGACAACATGATACGCGATGCCGAGTGTAAATTGTGTTACAGCATCACGTGTTTTATCCGCTTTATCAAGCAAAATCGGGTACAGTCGTCGGGCCCTAGTTTGGTGACCTCTACCATAGGCCACTGCAGTTGTATGACAGCGAATCACCAGTTCAGGTTGCTGATATACTCTTGTCATTCTGCTGTTACCCACGTAGCAAAACCGGATTCTTACTTGCTGTGTCGTAGGGCTTCCAAACCCTGTATTTCTCTCCCAAACTCTGATGCTTTTTCCACTACTTTGGATAGCTTCACAAACCATTGGATATTACTATTGGACTCCCATTACTGTGTTACATAAAGTGTCCCACTGTGGAATATCGTTTAAATGCATTCATACAGGATTTAAATGTCGCATGGATACTAGGAGAGCTTTTGTTTTCTCACAAAATGCATCAATCACAGCTGCTTCCCATGGTATTTTATGTGCTTACATTCCATTTCCCATCTCACACAATCTTCATGCGGTAACGCATTTAAGACGGTAGGCGCCTCTACTGATGCCGCAAATATGGAATCATCATCAGCATCATGAGTACATGTTAGCTGAAGGCGAGAAACACCTCAGATATTGTGCCGCAATATAAAACATAAATATATAAAAAGCGAGATACAAAGCACTGGAGGAACACAAAATAAAAACGAAAATATAAGCCATATAATGTCTAGCATTATATTAACCATCGAGTGAGAGATCGTGACTTAAGGGAGGAAGCTAAGCGCGAGAGACAGGGTCAATGCAACTCACAACACAAACACCATTGAGGTCGCCTCTTCGCCGTGTCAACAAATGTTTTCAAACCAGATGAGTTCATTGTCTTTCGATCCCCAGCCTGGCAGTCGGAAGACACCAGCAGATGCCAACTACGAAGTGAGGGACTTCATTCCTTTAGACCAAGTTATCGATTGACCTCCCTCCTCTTCTTCCATTCACATCACCGGCGAGTAAGCAATGCATCTCGTGGAATTCGGTGTGCTTGCATGCGAAACATGTGGCCCAGCCGTCGGAGCCTGTTGCGTTATGTAACGGTGCTGAGCGGTTCAAGTGCTCTTCCTGCACCAAATACAACACGGCGGACACGCTCATTGCTCATGTGGTGTTTCGACCGGACATGAGCTAAACTACGAAGGCAGCGATTATCTGACGGGCCAGGTTTTCCAGTCATGCAAATCTCTTAATTTTGTTGTTTACCCCTAACCATCCTACGGGAGTTGATAGACACCTGCTCTTTCCACTCGTGATGGATCATCGTCCATTGCTGGTTACAGACATGTTTGCAACTATGCAATGTGGCCATCGTTATTGCGTTGATCACAGGCCGTCGGTGTCTCGTTGTGGAGCCTACTGCACTCGAATCGCCTTCACTCGCCAGGTCATGAGCCCGCTAACATATTTTGTCCGGTAATACTCCACCGAGTTGGATGAATTCCCTAGGCAGTTTTGTGTAGATTCGTCGCAGTTAAACACAGACAGACAGCCATCACACATCCAGGAAAGCGCTAGACGGCCGGTTCGTCCTACTGGAACTCGTCAGTAGCGCGCACCCGCCGAACCCTGCCAGATTCGAACCCACTACCTTACTCTTGCGAGTCAGTGAGTTATGTCACAAAGCCAGGGGCGACGGCATCGGACGAAACGGCCGTCTAGCGCTTTCCTGATTTGTGGTGGCTGTCTGCCTGTGTGTCTAACTGCGACGAATCTACACAAAGAACCTAATAAATCCGCCTACTACGCACAAATCCCTAGGCAGTTATTCCAGGTAGATAGGTCGTATGAAGCAGCCCACTCCATTTCCGAATCAGGTTGTTGTTGCTTGTGTTGCCTTCCTGGATGAGGCCGGCCACATCGGGTACGGTGCAGTCACGCAGCCCTGGTTATTCCAGCTGACGACATAAAAAGAGCGTGTTCATTTCTCCTGCATTGCATTATTAGTGTTGTCGTTCATTCGGAAATATGTGCCGAAACGAATGAATCCACCGCAACTCCATACACATGGATCAAGGTTGGTAGGCTCATTGAAACGGAAATGACTTTTCACTTATATTTACAGCATTTAATCGTGGAACATACTCTGCTTTGGCACTCTCACGGCAAGTATCACATGTGCTATTGACCTGTTGCTAGGGGCCACGTACCACACCAGCTATGTACTATCACTACGGTAGTTATGTGAGTGGAAGCCTTGCAGCACACCTGCAAATCTAAAGCTCTAATTACTTGCCATAGACCATCCCCATCCAACTCTTTCTGTTAGTGATCAGATGTTTTTTTCCTACTATTTTTCGCTTTCTCGAGGAATTGACACTGGAGTATACTACGCATTGGGGACTTTGCTCAACGTGATCTTGCAGGCTTACTTTGTGGTAAGTTTTCTTTCAGGTTACCACACTTTCCACCTCTTGAGCTTATGTCCGATGAAGGATATCTGTGCTCATTTCCCTAATAGACCGGATTGCAGGTATTACACTGAACGCTTAACTTCCGTTCGCTTAAAATAGATGAGCAGATACACTTTATTATACCTTTCCAGAGCTAAAAGCCACCAAACCAAAGACAGTAAAGACTTAACCTGTAGTGGTTATCCCGCAGGGACCACCCGCAGCACATATGCAGTTGATCGTACCCACCCTACTTGAATGCCATAGTCATGACTTGCAAGGTAAAAAGGTATCAGTGTACACTGTCAGCAAATCTGGGAAGCTGTTTGGGGAGGAAGCACGTAGTAGTTTCCTCATTACCAGGTACTAACTTACCATCTTAAAATATGATTAAGCCCGGTTGGCACTACATACCCGGCTGTTTGAAACGCATTTGTTATCACGATGTTGTTGTTGGCGCATGTTTAAAATTAATCTCACCAACCTAGTCAGGATGCAGCAAATTCAAACGCATTCGATTCCTGAACTAGCCACCTTCCTTGAAGTTAGCACCGGAACCCCCCCCCCCCTCACCTCAGAGATGCAATACTCAGGTGCTCTATCAGTTAGTATTTGTTTGTTGATGACCAACGACGCTGGAGCCCGCTCTCCTCAGTGCACCTGCGACAACGAAAGTGAATCAGTTAGTAGTCGGCGCACAGGCACACATCTCCGGGGAGAAATGATAAGCTTGTAATCTTGTGGTGGTGACATTTGGCTGAAACCTCGGTTTCGTTGGATATGAACCATAAAGCTTCGATCAATCTGTTTGTGGCTTGGTGTACTCTATACCTCTTATACACATATCCTAACGGAAATGATATCGTGTGTGTGTTTCCGATTCACAGGGGTATTCGCATTCCGAACTGGCGAGTTTCGAGCAGATCCACATGGATTGAGTGTTACGTAATGTTGCTGCAGTCGGTAATTATCCACCTATCCAATTTGCACGTTTTAGCCTGCCCTATTGCTACCTAACACGTAATTAGTTGGTTACGTTTAGCTGGATTATACGGGACATGAGAACTCTTATTGGCGTCAATTTTGGATCAGCGATTAAAATCTGAGATTAGGGCGTTTACTTACTCACTATTTTTCAATGGTGGCTTGAGGGACTCACGTTTCGGACCGTAATTCCTGAACAACTGGCCAAGTTATCCACGTGAAAGTTATGCAGCTTGAAATTCCTTGAAATTGCAATTGTACAAACAAGGCTGTTTTGAAGCTTTGCAATTATTTGCCTTCGCTCCCGAATATAACTTCTAGGGAGCTCATAGATGACATCGAATTAGTGTACAAATCAACCCCTATTGCTTAATTTTGCATGCTTATTCATATATGTTTGTCATAATAACTAAATAACTGTGATGTAGAAGTATGAACAATCGTTTATCACGGGTAAAAGAGCATGTGTTTGCAAGTTCCGTAGAATGGTTGGAGTGAAAATTAAAATTAAAATGATCAACGATTAAGTAAAGCGTCCTTTTTAGCGTCTACCGATTTAACTACGCTGCTGGATGGTGATATTTTGAAAGGGGAATGGAATGTTTTTCACACACCTTAGTCTAGAGAACAGTTATAGTTCACGTACGCTGTGAATAATATAAACGGAAATGACAACCCTCACTCGTGTGCCTCTTCCTTTGACCGATATGAGATACGGTAATCCAGTTTGGGTACATCCAGGCTATTCCCATGGACACATCTGCATATGTCCTCACCGCCACGTTGCGGAGAGCGCACTGTTAAGCACTTCCTATGGCCCACGTTATTTCGCCCTCTAAATGAAGCGGAGTATATCAAGTAATGCAAGGGGGAAAGTATTTCATCAAGGCGTCTTTTGCAAAGCGTTAACCTAGGGGCAAGAATGACACGAATGGGAAGGGCGTTCCAGGGAGAAGCGTTTTGTTGGCAAGCAAGTCGACTGTAGTGCATGGACAGTTTGAGTATTTTGACTCACTTGCAACAAGTCGCGACAATAGTGAATTGGGTTCCTCAGTATTAAGTAAACCATGATGAGTTCTGCTCGCTGACTTCGATATTCACCACTGTACAATCTCAGGTATGGGAGGTGAAACAATCCTATGACGAGTTTGATCGCTGTGTGTTGGGGAGCTTCAAGTACATCGACGTCGCGCTTGCGTCAGAGACGCTAGGCCCGCTTGGTGGTCTGAGTGTGCACCAAGCTCGGCAGTTTGGCTGCAAACATTTCGTCACCACTCGAGGTGCCATCACCACTGCGCTAGTATGTAGCAGTGCTGCGCGATGTGAAGGTCCACAACCGAACAAAATGGGAAACCTCAAGTCAGAAAGGGTATAGTAACTCCACTGACACCTCGCTCTTGCACCTCTGTGATACGTACTGGTGTACTGGTGATGTCACCTCGCGTGGTGACCAAACGTTTACAGCCAAACTGCTTAGCTTAGCGAGCACTCAGAGCACTAAATTAAAGTGCGATGGCTAACCGCTCATAAAGCATAACGTAACTAAACGCTAGCAATCTACGTTTTAAGTGGATCTCGTTGATTCACGTCCCTTGAACCAAGGATACAAAGCCTAAACTAAGTACGTCGTACGAAACCTAAACTAGAAACTACGAACCAATAAACCTAGACTTAACGCACGGCCCGCGCATAAGAATAAAACGAATTATCCTGTAGCCATGGTTCTATAAGTCAAATTAAATACAGTACATGACTTACGAATAGGTTTTGCAGTCGTAGTGCAAGAGGGTAGAAATGGTAAAGTGTGCGGCAGCGTGCGGAAAAATTGGGCATTGCCACAGTAACAGCATAATATGGATGCCCTTGAAAGGTCAAGGATATGTCAGTGATCGAGAGTGTAAGGAATAGTTGTTCAACATGGTAACCGATTGCGCCACACAAAGTGAAAGCAATGTAAATTGGGCAGAATAATTAGGAAATAGGGAAACCGGTCCTCAAGTAGGCAATCCAGATCGCGGAATACATGAAAATTCCTTTTGGACTTTAGATCTCTGAGGGCTCAGTTATTACCGTTCCAATGAACTCTTTCGTGATTTGTTGCGGAGGTCTTAAACCATCCATATGTTACACTTCCGGAACTTCGCTTTAAGGCCCGTGCTCCTCTTCGATGATCTCAGCTGAGCATAATCTCATCAGTCCTTGCTGAACTTGAACCTGTGATCCGTCGTCATGCGTTCCTTGCACCGAATCACCTCAGGACTGGGTCCAGACGGGGATTTCCACCTGTACAAAGTCATCCTGAGCTCAGCTCTTAAATAAATAAATAAATAACCTATGGATCACTTGAGGATACGAGAGGCTGTGCCCTAGAAGTGACAGATCAAAAGGAGTCGTAAGCATTTCATGTTATTGCTTAAATAATTGTTTTCCAAACGTGAGCATTGATCTCAAGTTTATATACTACAAGGTAAACCGAATTGTTTTCCCGTTTTTTCGACCTATCGCGGAGCCATGGTTCGTCACAACCACATGACAAACGTTCGGGCCGGGAAAAAATGTAGCGAAAGAGGATGTGGTCTAAAATGCATAAGTTCATTTAGCCTGGATACATGTGTTATTCGCTATGGATGCCGTTCTGGAAAGAGTTTATCAATACTCTTGCTCCGGTGATGCACGATACATGGGTCGCACGACGAGACACCTATCACAACTGGACTCTAACCGCAAGTACGTATTTCAACTCGTAGCGAATAAGCAAGAAGACGCGTCAGTCTGGCGCACAATGTACTGAACACTTAACGGTTTACATGTGAACACGGAACGTTAGGGTGTGTCCTTGAGTGCGTGTGTGCGTGCTTATCTACGTGTGTGTGTAGGGCCAATCAGGTTCACGGTTATAGTGAGCGATCATTGGTTGAACACGTAACAGTCCTCCCTGTTTTGGCTGACGTTCCAGTCATGGCTGAAAACGTTCGATCGGTTTGCGAATCCGGGTCGATCGGCGTAATTGAGTTTCCCCTGTTGTTCTGTGTTCGTCGTGCTCTGCAGCTTGCTCTGCGATCTCCGAGTGTGACTGACTCACGGCAGGTGTGTCAGTGCTCCTGGGGCGTACATGATCTGAGTGCCGACGAACAACCCGGCCGTCCGGAAGCTGCAAATCGTTTTGACTTCCTGAAGTATCGAGCACAGTCGCCGGCTGCCAACATTGTTCATGCGATAACCTGGTGTAAACAGGTTGATGGTCCTGAAATGTAACTTCCGGCTTTGATTCCTCTGAAGACACAAACTTTTTCTGACGCTCCTGTACTTCAACACGCGGGTTCGGGAACAACAAATGAAGCCTCGTTCTCAGATTTCTGCCGAACATCAATTCCGCCGGGAATTTCCCGGTAGCCTCAGTGGGTGTAGAACGGTAGGAGAATAGGAACCGATCCAGTTTTGTTCGCATTGTTCCCGTTCGCTGCTTTAGTAAGCCTTGTTTCACAGTTTGTACTGCACGCTCCGCTAATCCGTTTGATGCTGGGTGATACGGGGCTGATTTAACGTGTTGGATTCCGTTGTTGGCGACAAATTTACCAAACTCGGCACTGGTAAAAGGCGAACCATTGTCTGTACAAATGGTTTCCCGAATGCCAAAAGTAGCGAAGGACGAGCGCATTTTAGTGATGGTGGAATCGGCTGTCGCCTGAGTAACTGGATGTACGTCAATCCACTTAGAATGTGCATCAATAAGTAGAAGAAACATGGTCCCGTCGATCGGTCCGAAGTAGTCGGCGTGGATACGCTGCCAGGGCTTGTCGGGCCAACGCCAAGGGTGTATTGGACCTGGCGCCTTGCTCCGCTGATACGCCTGACAAATATCGCAATTCTTTAGTAAGTTCTCTATGTCTGAGTCAACGTTGGGCCACCAGCAATACCCTCTCGCTAGTGCCTTCATCCTCGCCACACCTGGATGAGCATCATGGAGCTCTTTAAGTATCTGTGAACGCGCCTTGGTGGGA